TTTTTTTTAATTTTGGATATTTTAAAAATAAAGAGCAATTCACTCAAACAATTCAGAAATATATTGCAGTCGTCAAAGAAATCGCCATATCAGCGGAATGGCGAAATAAACAAAAATTTCCGAACACAATTTTTTAGAACAACTATATTTTACTGTATAAAAATGATATTTTAATTCATAAAATATAACTTAAAACAAGCAGGAGCACAACTCAAAAGCGTAACGGTACCGGCGTACCGCGATTTAAGATTTTCCTGAATAATTCTTACATTATTTTATTGTTTGTTAATTTTACAACTTTACCATATCTGGCATGCACTGGAGAACATTTGGTGAAAATTTGATGAAAATCGGACTGATATTGAGCGCGCAGTAGCGATTTTCCGCAAAACGCCAAAAAGGGTGTCTGTAACCTTAATGGAGCTAGCAGAACGGAAACTTAATAGTAATTTGTTCCAGAGGCCTATAGCGGTTATAGAAAAAGTTCTTCCTGTTTCTGTAGCTCTATTGTATTTCGGAGTTACTAAACTTAAATCAGCACTGCGAGTGTTCCTTGAATGTTGTTGGCTATTTAAATGTAATACTCTGTTTATTAAGTACTCCGGAGTAGCATTAATAGTACGCTTGTAGATCATAATACATTTTCTGATCTGTTTTTAACCATAACGGTTAAACACTCCGTATAACTGTAGCCCTGCATATTTTGAATACCTACAGACTGTAGGTATTCAAAATATGTAGGACATCTGGAGATTGGGCCGCCTGTGGTCGAAGCGGAGCTTCCTCTCCCCAGCAAAATGAGGTCTGTTTATTACGGTTGAAAACCTAATAAGGGTCAAATGAAGTATCTACCAACGAAGACAGGTTATATATAGATTGCTTGACGTTTCGACTATCTTGCCGTCACATAAATTGATGTCTTGCTGTTTATGAATAGTATTTATAGTAACCCTATAATCATGTCCCTGATCTAAAAAAAAGAGCGAGAGATCAAACTATGCTCAGTCTTTGTTCTTCAGAACGGATACTCACCATAAGTGACCACAAACTCAGTATGCGTAAGATAATTATTTTTTATTATATTGCCCAAATTACATAGTTATTTACATTTATTTCCTTTTGAGATACTTTCAGAGAGCTAGAGACCTAATTTGGAAACCTGTATAGGCTTTTATTAAAGGCCCCTATAGTTTTATACGAGTAAAAATTAAGTCACTAAAAATTCATAAAACCAGTATATTGTCAAAAGTACTGTCAAGTCTTAAGACTTTAAATAAAGGACAGAACGCGGATACCTATAGTGCTATACTTACAAGTAGAATAACTATAGATGCTCAAGTATACAAGAGACAAGTAGAAAGAGTAAGAAATTATGGCTATATTTACAGTGCTTAATTATTGAGTAGTATAGGTGCTTTTTAATTTTCTTTTTGAAGGTAGTATAAGATTTGATATTTTTATAATTACAATCTAGTTTGTTCCAAATATTAACTCCTTTATCAGAAAGAGTTTGTTTTGCATAGTTTGTTCTTTTATAAGACTTAGTGATATTATAGTTTGTTCTTTTATAAGATGAAGTTGTGTGAATAATGTGCAAACAGACATAAGATGAGCTTTTTAAAAATCATTTAAAAAGTTATATATTATCAATCAAACAAGTTATACGAATTACTTCCACAAAGACACCAACCGAAGTACAATCTTGGGAAAAGAAAACATTTAACACTCCGCAAAATTAATATATACCAAGCGTTACCAAAATACTTTTATTTCATCGATGTGCAAC